CCAATCCCAGGTCTGAAATCTGAGGCTGTATAACCCAAACCCGATAATCAAGCTGCCTTTTCAAAATGTTCCCATTTGTGCTATCTACACAAACAAGTTAATTTTCTTCACAGCCCTAGGTTTATGTTAAAGGGATACTGCTACAAGCTTTTAGGACAGCTGCAATGGACTGAGTCCAGTGGGAGCATCTGAGGAGAAGAGGGCTGTTTCTGTAGATCGGGAGGCCTCATCAGCATCTGTCAGGAAGAAACCAACAGGGTGATTAGGGCTTTGCCTTCCCTTTGGGCAGAGAGGAGAAGGAAAGTCATTACTGACTCCAAAATGAAAGAAAAAGATAGCTGAAGATGATAGTGAGGTTGCCTTTGGCACATGGAATTCACGAGGATATGTCTCACCAGCCCACAACAGATAGTGGAGACTCCTTGTAGAAGTGGCCATTGGAGACTGGCACGGCCTAATCAAACACAGAAAAGTCATTCCCTTCATCTGAGTGCCAGTGTTTCAAGTGTCCCGAGCCAGCCCTCTGCCACTTATCTCTTCCCACTCCTCTGTAACAGACTGACCATTAAATTAGCTTTCATCATGCGACTAACCAAACTACACAGAGGAGGACACTCCACAGAAATAGCTTGCTCAGGAGAGCAGGACAGGGCCTCCCCTCCACAGCTGTACCAAAAGGAAATTAAGTTTTGCATATTGAAAGTCATGGGTTTTGGTGAAACAACACTCCAGGAAAACAGGGTGTCTAATGTCTCATTAAAAATGCCTCCCACACTCTAACCGTGGTCTTATTGGCTGCCTAAGCTTAGGCCACCTCTCTCTGTATGTACTCCAGTGAGGACTGCAGATGAAAGCACACAGCGTTATTTTCTATTGGGTCAGTTTGCCACGTCTGACAAATTAATTAATGATGCAAGTTTTACAGGAGCCATCTGCTCTACAGAAAAGCAGTAGGATTTTTTTGAAGTACAAAGAATGACTCTCTCAGGTTGTCCTGTTATAACAAGCAAATCGCCCTTAATGCAGCATGACTCAGTGACTACTGAGCTGTGTGCCAGATTCCGCACCTTTCCACAGAGCTTCAAGGGGTGCTACCCCGTCAGTGTGGCAGGGGGTCAACACAGGCTCCGACAGCACCACTTACTGCATCTTGCCTTGGGCTTCCCTGAGTGGATTTGCAGTGAACAGGCTTCCTCTTTGGGTTGTCATCCTCAGGACAACATGCGGCTCAGGCTAATTCCTGACATATCTGAGGGACAGGAGGCCTTGGAGAGAGGTTTACAACACAGCACCAGCATTAGATGGGGCATAACACTGTGTGGCTTTGTCTAGCACAGAGCAAAAATAACATGTAGGCATAATTAGGAAGTGTCACCACAATTGGTGCTGTTGCTCAAAACAATTACACTGTTCAAGCAGTATTTCTTTTCAGCCTGGCAGGCAACTGTTGAGTCAATGAGGTACACACTTGGTCGCTGAGGCTACATCAATGTCCGCAAACAATGTGGCACAATTTAAGTGGATCTGTAGGGTGAAACAGTTCATGCATGGACCCAAAATCTACATATGCTTTTTGAGTGGATTTGTTTCAAACCAGCTCTAGTTTGCTCTCACAGATAAAAGCTCACCAGTGAACAAGGAAAGCAGTCCTGACCTGAACAAAATGAATAACATGGATGCACACTTGGTTGCTTGCCATGACAGAACTCATCTGTACAACACTCGTTACCCAGTTCAGAAGAAGGTTCAGCAAAGGAGAGGCTTTCCGCAGCAATTGCAGCAGGACATGGAAAGTCTCAGCTAGCCTATCCCTGCTGCTACACAAAACTCCACCCAAAATAAGGCTGTATAGTTTACTTACTTTCTATGAAACACTGCAGTCATTTCCAACAGATGTAAATAAGGGAAGGGAAGGGCAACTTCCCATTCAACTTCTCAACCTGACCCTCACCACCACCAATCTTCCCGTTCCCCCACCTACCAGCTAGCTCACCTCCTCTTCTCCCAGTACCAGATCCAAAAGGCCACTCTTCATGCATCATAACTTGAGCCAACTAGAAAAACAAAACAACCTATCCATTGCCAAGTTTAATCCCACACAGTCCCATCTGGTTTCTCATCGTCTTCTGCATTCACCTGCTAAGAGGTATCTTCCTCTCTTCTTGGCAATTTTAGGATTTCATGAGTGAGGAGAATCCAGTGACCTTAACTCTGAATACTGAATTACCCTCTGTAATAAAAGTGTTACAGAGTGGGTCTAGTGAAAAAGGCATTTTTTTTACTTGGCCGTAAATCAAAAGTCCTGAGTCAATAGTTTTTATTCACTATACTGGTTTGGAGGATTTGCTGTGATAGGAGTAGTGAATTCAACAGAGAAAGAAGAAATCCTCAGAGTAGTGCATAGAGCATCTGACTAAATAGGTGTGTGGAAAGGGGTTGTTGTTTGTTTCCCTTGAAGAAATGCTTTCTGCTTTTAGGAAAGAGGCCAACTGGGAAAAGGAAAAAGAAGAAAATATTTTATAGGAGCTCACGAATAAGCACTCCGATTTCTGAGAACATCTCTTCATTTTTGGAGGAATATCTGGATTCAATTTGAAAATTAGAAAGATCAGGGAAAAAATCTTATCTGAAAGCTAAAGAAAAGTACTTCAATGTCACTACTATCTTTCACTGAAACAAATATTGAGCTTGAATAACAGGTTGTAGGACTTTGTGTATGAGACAGAAGTAGAGAGGGGGAAGTGAATATGAGCTTAAAGATATATTTCAAATTTTACTTTGAATGTTTTTAAAATAAAATGGCAATTTAATTATAAGACATGACTTACATCCAGTTATGCTCTCCATCTAAGAAATTAATTTTTAAGGCAACTCCAAGTATTTTTTTTAAACAAATTTTTCATGTGAAGATAGAATCAGGATCAAAAATAATCAAACCTTCCTAAAGTTTGGTGCCCAAATATGTACGCATGTAAACACAGGAGTGTTATGTTACCTAGATTTTTTCCAATCCACTATAGAGAGAAGGGTCTATCAGTGACCCCTCTCTCAAAATGAATCTTTTCATCAAAATTGGACTATATCAGTAGAGGTGTCAAGAAAATAAAACCTGTTGTAGGGCAAAGAAAGTGAGAAAGAGGGCAGGAGTTCCCAGAGCGAATGTGAGCAGGTGGGGAGAGAAAAAGAGAAGGAAGGAACTCCTGCAAAGACAAATATGGGCAGGAATATCAGATGCTGATCAGTGGGGAAAGGAAATTGCAGAGTAATGTCAAGCCTCTGAGAGGAAGTGCAAAGGGAAAGGAGGAACAAAATGCTCCTGTTACTGTACCTGTGCAAAAGATTTACAAAATCTCAGAGGGGCACAAAGACTTGAGTAGTGGAAATGCATGTCACTGGGAAGGGAGAGAGGCAGAAGACAGAGACACACAAGTTTGGTTGTACTTTACATAGATTAACACTCATCTTGCAACAGGTACAACCACTCCCTATATTTCTGTGTATCAACCTTTCTTCCATCGGGATAACACCAATCATCTGCAGCTACCCAATATGTTTACACAGAGTCTTAGCCATATGTTCCCATGGCCTATGTGCCAAAAAAACAGAGCAACTTCCTATCAAAGTCCTTCTGAAATCCTCTGAGCGAGAGCCAAACTCCCTTACTTGGTGTGATACCATAGCAACTCAAGAGTCCCCATCATTGCTTAACTCTGAAGGTCCTTGAAAGAGTCTCACAAAGCACAGCAAGTATGTGTGGCCCCAGCTACGTGGGAGACGTAGGGATGCAAACAAATATAAATAATCTTGTAAATGTTCTTGTCTGAACAACAGCACACAGTGGAAGGGACATATGGAAGAGACCTCTGGTTCAAAGACGGAAGGATAAAGTTACTTCTAAAAGTGTCTTTTGGATATATCAACATATTTGATTTTATGGTATCACAAGGAACGTTTGCTACAGCTCTAGGCTGCCAGTTTTCCTTGATCAACGAAAAAGAAAGAAAAGGAAAGGAAATTGAAGAAACTGAATTCCTGTAATTTTCTCCAATAGGAAAACAATGAGACTAGGAGGGCACTTGAGAGAATGAGCACTCAATAGCTGAGTTAATGAGCTGTCTGTTTTGAGAGCCCTCCTTTTCTTTAGTGTCCAAGAAACAAGGTATTCAAACCGATTATCGCTTGAATTACTTTGGGTATCAGTGTCCAGATGCTTGTAGGGTATGCAGAAAGAGAAGCATATATTTGCATGCTTAGAGACCAGGTCTATTCTACTTGAAGGCAGTGATTTATGTGTATGATAGAATTCCCAAGTACACAGAAAGCATGAAGCAGCAGATTTTTCTTTTCTTTTCTTTTCTTTTTTCCAGTCATAAAATTTATGCGAGTCTTATAATTTCAGAACATCTGAATCTCAGTTTTCCTCATGTGATTGTTATCAAATCATGATTTCATCACAAGCCTATAATGTTTTTAATTAAGTCTGCCTTCTCCTGGAGACAGGTAATTGAGAAAGAAATGAAATAAAAGAAATTGCTGAACTTCTCTTATTGAAGAGTTTCTAATGCTTCTTTTTTGTAGAGAAGCAGTTGATAAAATTACTCCAGTGAACTTCAAATGCTCAAATAGCAATAGTCAAAGATAAAAGTATTAATGGACTATTTTGAAGTCAGTCTCATGACTTGTAAACAGTTGAGAATGTCAACGCCAGAACAATCTTCTTGTCTGACTAGAATACTGGAATGATTAAATACTTAAAAACAGTTTAAATAGATTTAAGTGCAACATAAATGTTAAGACATTATTAGCTAACTGCTGCCGCTTTCTTATACAGAATGGTTACTCAATACACAGCCTGTACATACAGTGCTTCTACACAGCCAAACCCTTAGCTTCCACCCTGAATCAAAATTTTTAATGCTCTTTTCAGACATGCTTGAAATTATCAGGGAATTTAATATCATGTTTTCCTTATGTGTTCTCTTCTTCCTCTTCTTTATTAGGTATCAAACCTGCTCAAACAATGGGCTGGTGGCCGGTTTCCAGAGCCAGTATTTTCCATCTGTTCTTGACCGTGAATGGCAATTTTACTGCTGCCGCTATAGCCGGAGATGCCCGTATTCATGCTGGTGAGTTCAAGCAGAAACCAAACCCGTTGGCCTCTTTTCCCCAGCAGTCCCTATAAATGTCTTTGGCCACTTGGCCCATATCTTGTCTGAGAAAAAATTAACTGTGTTTTATGGGATTAAGCAAGTTATTTCCAGCCTGATAACAGAACTCCTGAGGATCTATGGCAAAGGGAAGAGAATGAGGGCACAGCTACAGCAGTAGCTACCCCTAAATGAACAGGTCTGGGTACCAGTGGCAGCCTAGCTATGCTGGAAACCATGACAAAAGTCTCCAAAGTGGAACGGCATTTCAAAGGTGGTGGTATAGCTCCCACTATAAATCCAGCACATTTGCAGGAGTAAGAGCATCTCTGTGCTACACTACTGTGCCACAATGACTTGCAGGAGTGAACTTACTGCTAGTTATCCCAGAAAAAAAAAATATCCTCTGGCTGACAACTTGGGAATTTTTGTATTTGTAGCGCATAAAACTTCCTCCCTCTCTCAAGGTTATTTAAAGACCAAAGTCAAAATGAGCTACTGATCATAGTCCAAACCTAAACCAAAGGTGGCCTCACCTCAACACAACTAGTGCTGGCAACCTCACAGAGGCTATGGAAGAATGAGCTACACATCCCAAGCTTCCCTGTGTCCCCGGGTGTGGCTTCTCTACATTGAGACAGAAGACTGTGTAGAGAAAGCTCATATTGCTCCTGTCCATTTTGTGTAACAAACTCATTATCTTATGTTTCAGGGCTATTAATCCAGTTATTCTCCCTAATACAAAGAATAACCCACCTGCACTTAAAAGAAAAAAAAAAAAAAAATTAAAATAGGAGAAAAAAAAAATCTGTGCTTGAATCTTTGTTTCCAGAAATCAGCTTTGAAGTAAACTGTCCATTGAGATCCATACAGGCTATTTACATGTCCATTGGTCCTGCTGGCTGGCTACTGGCCAAACACACAGCAGTGCCTTACTTTGCATCCTTCAGTCTCCTTCCATCCAGGAGGAAACGAAATGGGGTTTTACTATTATTTTTAAAGATTTTAAATGACAGGAACTCTGTAACAAAGTCTTTGAACAGTCTTCTGCCCCCTTTCCAGCCTACACTGCCTACGGATGTTCTCTACCTGGCAGTTTATTTACATACCTGCCCAGGCTCTTCCCTCTGAGGGAAACTCACTCTAACTTTTAAGCATTTCTTCCAGTCTCTCTTACTCCTTTAATATTGCACGTATTTTCAGAGAGACAACAGAAATCTACTCTGACCTCTTTTGTTGTTGACAGTTCTGCTTCCTTCAGATGTCGTCGTCTTGACAACTGGGAACAGCTTTGTCTCTGCCTTGCAAATTGCCGTTCAGAGTAATGCAAATCCTAATGCAAATGTTTGGAGTTACTGATGTTTTGCGTTTCCATCTCAGCTGTACACAGATGCCCTTCTGATTCCAACAGTGACAACACGCCATTTAGATGCTTGGAAAAGAATGACTTATGCAGTTCAGCTGCTACTGTCTTTCCATGCAGAAAAGGCAGCATTTCAAAGGGAAGTGAAGTGTTTCTCCCTATAAGCAGAGTAGAAATCCCATGTGCTCACCTTATTCTGGGAGGGGACACCTCTAAAACCTCTGGGAAGACCTGTCAACTGGCTTGTGAAAAGCTTCTGGTGTATAGTATATGATTATAGATTCATTATAAAACCATTTTGTACCCTGTATTACCACGCTCAGTCACTCTATCTGGAGCCCCGTTCATTCTGTTCAAGCTACTGGCCTAACTTGACACCTCCACTCTCAACCTGGACAGTCTCTCATACAGTTGCTTCTACTTGAGAGTCTTGTTTGACCTTACTGTCTTGAAGATCCTCCTCACAATATATTTCTTCCAAGGTCTCATTCTGCCTTTGGAATTAGCAAGGTAGATAGATAGAAGCTCTGTCTACATACAGTCCAACTTAGGATGTTATGGTCTGGATGGACAGACAACTAGATGGGTAAAAACCTGGTGGTTTAACAGGCTCAGAGAGTAGTGCTTAAAGGGTGACACCCCACCTGGATGGCCATTACGAGTGGAGCACTGTATCTAATGGTCTACCCTGGGACCCATCCCACTTACCTTCTTTATCAATGACCTTGAGGAGGCAACAGAGCACACTCCCACCAAGTTTGCATATGACATCAAACTGAGGGCAACAGCTGATATGCTTGAGGGCAGAATTGCTGTTCAGAGGGATATAAAGAAAACCTTTTCCTCTATTAGGACAGTAAGAAAGTAGAGCAGGTTGCCTGGTGAGGCTGTGTAGGCTCCATCTTTGGAGGTTTTCAAGACTTGACTGAATAAAGCCCTGAGCAACCTAGTCTGACCTCGTGGTTGACCCTGCTTTGAGCAGGTGGCTGTACTAGAGACCCGTTGGGGTCCTTTTCCGCCAGGTATCCTGTGATCCCAAATAGGAGGACTGCTGGAGGGCCCACACCATGCAGCTAAACTCTCCTCTCCAAACAGTGGTCTCCCACCTACTGCCTGCTGCAAATGGTTTCTTTTCTGTTTATTCCCTTTACCCTGCCTAGACAGTGTCTGACAGAGTGTCAGTTGTTATGCTAACATATAAGCAACATGAACTCCAATGCGGTAGCACAAAACCCCATGCTTTGGACCCACTTTTAATACTACAGATGTGACTTGTCTGTATTCTTAAACTTCAGCGTACAGCAAATAAAATTCCCATTCCCTAAGCCCAGGAGATCTGACTCACAGCTTCACTTCCATTGGCATTTCCAAGTTATTGTCACAAAACCTTGTTCACACATCACACTTCTGGCCTGTATCTTGCACTCTGTTTAAGATGCATTTGACAGAGAGAATGTGTTTTCCAAACAATCTGCAAAGCAGTTCTGGGCTACCATGGGTAGGACCTCAAAATGTATATGCATATAAGACACAATAAAAATGTGTGTGTGTATACAGCATCATTATTTATTACAGTTACTGCCCCAACCTATAGTGGTATTTATTCTGTTCCAGAAACTAGCTGTCAACAAACTGTGGAAAAATGGCTACTAACACGCTGCTGACTCCTATTTCTTGGTTGAAGCAGCTTCAATTCATGCAGTGTCATCTATTACTATATGTACTATATGGAAAAGTAATACCATGGAAATATGCAATGACTGTGGTGCCTCATGGATGATGCACAACACATAGGAAAATTCATATTCAAAGACAATCCACATTGCAGAAATTCTCAGCAGCCTTGAATTTTAATGTGCAATGAATCCTTCATTATGAAACAAAATACGGGCAGAAAGACATTTTTAAGAAAACTGACGATACTGAGGCATAACAAAACTCTTTGTTTTAAATGATCTCTCACCTTGGGTATTTGATCCTTTCTTCTTCTAGTTGTCTCCATACAGGGCTTTCTGGCAAATACAAAAGCCATATGACAGCTGATCCTGACGCAGGGTTTCTCTGGGCTCTTCCTCTTCAGGACTACATTCCTCCTGAAGTGAGCTGGTCTTCCCTACAATGAATAAAGACGTATTTTCCCCATGTAAATAAGCCATGCAAATGGTTTGTTAGGATTTGATCTGGTTTTGGTCATTCCTGTGTTCTTCAAGTCCTGCTACTACTTATTGGAATATTTATTCACGACACCATCATGCTGACTGAAACCCACACTTAAACATTTTGCTTAACTTAAGAACACGATTAAAGCCAAATACATGCTTAAGGACTTTGCTTGGTAGCATCTATATCCTTACTCTTAAAGCACAGCAGTTCTGTTTCACAGCTCATCCTCTCATCATTAATTCCCAGTTTTACCTGTGTGGTAAGCCCATATTGAAAATAGACTAATCTTTTCCAGTCTCATAGTTTTGCACTTGCTATTTTTAATCTTTTTTTTTTATGAGTACTTTGTTTCCTTCCTCACTGTGTCAAGTCTTGTCATGGATTCTGCACATTTTTACCATACTGAAAATAATTAACATTCCTCACAGGAGGCAGAAACACTCCCATTATTTTACCTGGCTAGAGAATGCTACCACAGTAAAATAAACTGTGCTGATTTGAACCATAAAGGAAGCAAATCTATTGCAGATGCAGAGACGCTGTTACTAAGTGGTCCCTTTAGAGCTCAGATTTTTCTCTTTGCCAGGAAATTGAAAGCTTGACTCCATACTCTCAAAAGCAAACACATGTCACAGAGCAGCCCCAAGTCTGCACAGACTGTTTATGGTGGTTTCCCCTCTCCAAACAACTAGCAGTCCAAGTGCCAGAAGGTCTGTCTGGAACTGTGGCTGTGGCTGCTCTCTGTCACGGTGACATTGTCCAGGCAACAATTACATTTTCCAAGAGTTATGGGGCTTAAAGAACTTACTTGTTTTTTTAACTCAACTTGCCACCAAAGCCATATTGAAACTGATGAGATCCTATGCACATTTCTCAGAGACTACCAACAGCAGAGATATAAATCCAAGAGATGAACTCAGAATGCACTTCCAGGCAACTCAATTCCCCTTCCCCTTTCTTTTTTTTTTTTAGGAAAAAGAAAAGGTATTTCACTTATTTTTTTTAATATCCCACCAAATACAACCTTACAGTTCACTCTCCAGGACCATCTTCCAGAGACATCTTAGGAGAAACACATTTGCTTAATATTGGAAAGCTGGCTAACATTATTCAGACATATCTTTTCTTGAGGAACAGGCATAAGGTGCCCTGAGCTCACTGCTGCTGCTTGGATCTGTATTGCACTAGGTTGTGTAGGCCTCCAAGAACTGCGGTCTCACTGTGTTGGCCTTGTGTCTCCCCAACCCTGTGAGAGTTTGTGGTTTTCACTACAACAGAGTGGAAAGAGAAGAGCAGTGATGTGTCTAGGTGAATCTAGGATCTCAGACCTTGGAGCCTGAACTCAAGCCCAAAACGCATGTGACATGGCCACATGAGAAAACTGCTGATCTCCAGAGCAGCTCCAGAACACCTCTAGCTCCCTGACAGCCCAGCAATCTGGGATCTGTGCTGGAAGCACTCGCAGGAATTTTTGTAGAAAGTTTACTAAGATCTTCTTTGGCTTTTCAGCATAGTATGCTTTTTAAAAGGTGATGACCACTGTCTTCCAGCTGGAGAAAGAATTGAGATTGATTAAAGAGGCATATAATTCCCATGTTCACTGAATGTAACATGCAGGATCATGGCTCTTGAAACAAAATTCTACATATTCTTGAAGCACTTGCAAATAGCATCTGAAACAATAAGGCCATTCAGGGTACACTCCTTGTCCTCAAAGGACAGAAAGTTCATGTCAAAGCTTATGTTTTCCTCTTGAAATGGAACAGCTCCTTCTTTTGGCTGTGGCATTGTTAGCCGAAGGGTTGAGCAGCAAAAAAGAAAATGAAGGTTAAAGAGAAGCCATTCATCTTGTTAGCACTGTGATCGCACAAGAAGTGAAAAGTGTAAGGCACTCCAAAACAACATACTTACTAGCAAGGTACAAGTATATTCAACAGTTGGAGCAGGAAACCATGAGGTCTACCACCGACTGTCTCTGATATTTTAAAAGACTAATTTCTTTATTCTGCTTGGCATCCTAAAGTAAGGCACACCCACAGTTCCCATTTACTTCTCTGCGGGGCAGGCTGTACAATACTAATAAGGCCATTGGTGCAACTCGATCTTCTTATTGGTAAAAAATAGACTCATAATAACTATTTCTGAAGTCAATCATTGAAAGAGTGCTAGGGATCACTGTTGATTAGTACAAACCATTCTTCTCCATGCTATATGAGTAACCCTGTGTTTTCTACTAATCTCTAACATAGTAGTCTTCACCACGGAAAAAAAAACATTACTAGTTTCATACTAAAATAATAACAACAGTAATCCTGTTAAAGATTTAATGCCTTTTTTCAATACATGTCCTACCCTGAGCAAGATTTATAGGATTATAGTAAAGTATATTAGAAAAACACGGGGATGGGTGGAGTGATGCAAACCAGTCAGAAGATAAACCATCCCACATCAACTCTATACCAGCTAAAAACTTCATTATGAAAACAGCTTTTTCTGTCAGGTTTTCCTGTTCTCCCATACACATGCCAAACCACTTACAAACCTTCTCACAAGCTTTTCTTTCCCAGTCTTTAATGTAGAATTACCTGCTTTCTCCTCTCTTGACATGCCACTAGTGCTCAAAGTCTCTTGTGTCCAAATATCATACACCTGATACTAACCCGAAATGGATTTGCAAAGCTGAACCAGAATTCCTCTGTTTTCTGTATTCATTCTTGCAAATGGACCATATGGACTGAAAAGACTACCTCTTGCTAAAGGTCTCACATTACTATTTTCTTCCCTATGAGTCCTTCCCAAAATTTAACACCTATGTGTACATCTGGGTTTAGTAAACGATCCCACTAAATGCACCCTGCTAGCCCTTACACAGATCCTCTGCCTCCTCAGGTTTTGTTTGGTACCAAATTTCTCCAGTGCCTAGGTCCTACAAACAGTATAACACAGGTCCTCTCACAGCTGCTTTGCAAGCCTCTCTTCTAGGGCCTTCCCTTATATGTTCCAGGACTTTCCCTTTCTCAGGCACCACAAGCACCACAGTTTGGTCCTAGAGGCCTTAGATCATCCCAAACAGCAGCAGCAACTTTGTCTCAGCACTTGGCAATTCCCAAGAGTCTCACTGCTCCCCTAGCCCAGTTTTAGCCCCAGCTAAGAGGTCAATGCCAAAAGTGCTTACAGGGCCCTCATACAGGTTACTGTGGACGGCTCTTCCCAAATGGCTCTTGCCCTTGGGCTTGGATTGCTTGGGAGTCCAGAGTTGTGTGGGCAGACAAACCCTCACCAACTAGGGCAAAAAGTGTCTCTCACTTGTTTCATGACTCCTCTCAGGTATAAACCATACGTTGCCATACGTTTGTAAATAAATTACCTGTCTGTAGGGACCTCATAGCTGGTTCACAGTTGGCACACAGTTGCTACGCATTAGAGAGTAAAACATCTAATATTTTCAGTTAAGCACTTGATAATAACGTTACACACCAAGCTACAACAAATGCTGAGGGAATCACTGTCCTGTGCTGGGCAGACCACTTTGAGAAGACCCTTAATGGCTGAGTTAAAAGACCCTTCTCCATAATGAGAAAATCACGTAGCAAACACGCCTACTCATTCAACACTAGAGCATCTTGCAGTGCAGGTACATTTTGTGCGACTTACCCCCAGGATTCCAAAACTGGGGGTAATAGAGAAGACCTGGGTAACATCACAGAGCTCTGCTATACGGACAACCGATTGCATTTCCTTCTAAAGGATACAAGGCAATCCAGATGACCTTGAGATGCTTGGGCTTAAGGGAACAGTTTCATAAATGAGTACAGCAAACATCCAAGAAAACTGAATTAGACAGACAGACCATACAGACCCAAGTGAACTTGAACACTGCTGTCACACCACTATTTATAATTTTTCTCTTCAGAACAAAAGGAGTCAGTAGGCATTTGTCTATGTAACAAGACAAACTTCAGAGCGGCTCAAGTCCCCAAATAATTTCCTTTCAGTAATTGCATATATTTTATTTTTGAACATTTCTTAGTGGAGGAGCCTTAAGAGGCTGAATGGTAATGTGGAGAAGATAGTAGAGAGGGAGGAGTCTGCCTGCCTGACAGCAGGCAGAAAGAAAAGAGAGGGAAGCTAAATGAAGGCTCCCTACTGTATCCATTCACTTCAGAATAACACTCCCTGCTTCTGCAAAAGGTCTGCAAGACCCTTCACAGTAGTTCAGGAGCTTGTCATCAGATTTACTTTTCAACTGAAAGGCTCATGAAACAAGTTCAAAGAACTGACTCTCAGTTCTGTCTCTGAGTAGAGCTGAAAGCAGCTTTTTAACCTTGTGTTTTGCACAGTCTCATCTGCCCAGCACATACTGCTTGTGAAGATTACAGAACATTTTCCTTGCTGAATGCCAAACAGATGTTATGAAACACATTTGGTGGAACATATATAAACACACATCTTAGTGTTTTCCTCATAATAGTAGCCCAAAGAAGTCCCAAAACCTGGAGCTGATGGAGCAATGCAAAATGAAATCCTGGTCTATAGCTGGTCTTCATGCCACATTTTAAAAACTTGTTATGACCCAGGAATCTTTGAAGATGTGCTATCAGACACTCAGGCTCCAAATTAGTAAACTAAATATGGGGACTGTCTTCTGGCAGAGGGAGCAGACATGCCATTAAGCTTTCTTAGCTTCCAAAACAGGGTGTCCACATTCTGTCTGTTGGGAATGGTACCTACCGTGTGTTAACTTACAAACTGTGTCTTTGAGGTATCTGCTGAGACTGTGCTAGTTGGTCTGGGCTAAAACTGTCCCAGGGGCTGTTTTAATAATTTACATGTCTAGGCAATCAAGTTATAATGCCCAGACACATTCTCTGGTGTTGTTTAATTTAATAGCACAGATGTAGCCCCAGTTTCTCTTGGCCTCTGGCTATTGATCCAGAAATATTCTCAAGTTCCCAGATTCAGATCCATATATTCACTGATGGGAGACTCATGTACGCAAAAAAATCTCCTTGAGGCCTTGATTTCTGTGTAATATTTCAGAGTCCCTCAGTTCTCAGGTAAACTTTCAGTTTCTGAGTACTCCATCAGTTACAGGTTTGGGCTCCAAATATCCCCAAAGCATCTCATTTTAAAAACTTAAAACCACCCCAACAATTCCTAGTGAGTAAAATACTTAAGCTTGTGCTCACACTCCACTGAGTTAACAAAATGTCAACATACATGAGTGCTTGGCTGGGATGTGCTAGGATCACCTTCAAGTGTCATTCAAGTACTGCTGCTGGGATGAATTAAGTCAGAAAAATAGCTGTCAGGATTTCTGTAAAGGCATCTTAACCCTGCTAGTCTCAATAGCAGCTTAGCCATCCATTTCCACGGGGAACAGCATCTCCCTTACCAGGAACCTAATGCTTCCCTGTGCTGTTTTGGAGTGAAGCTGACACAACTCCACTAGCATCTCCCACATAAAATGGTGTAATACAGGAAAGACTGAGTGCCAGGTTTCCATTCCTGACCTCTGACATAATGCTGACATAAAGTACTGGTCAAGGTCCCAGCCCCTTCCTGCATCTGTTCATTATCTGTAAAACCAAGTACAGTATTACTTCCCTATTTCCCAGGGAAGCAGCAACCATAATTTGATTAGTAAGTGCAGAAGCACTTTGAGCTTCTTAGATAAAACACACTGCACAAATATTGCCCAGGCCCATATTTGTACATTATAAATTAGACAGAAAGTGGAAACAACAAAGAGGAATGTAATAATTGCTACATATATTTAATATAATTCATAAATGGATAAATGCTTTTAGTTATTTGACTTGGCAAAATTTACAGCAGTCTACAGCAGCAAACCAAACAGACTCACAAGAGGCCAAAGCAAATCCCTGCAATAAAAAGTAAGCAGAAGACAAGCTTTACATTCTTGTTCAGGCTACTTTTATCCCAGAGCTGCAGACGTATATACATATAATACTCCAACTTGCTCTTAACTGTTCTAAACTTACTGAAATTTATTGAAATAGCTACACGAATTAGTTGTGTAGAAGAGAAAGGCAGTCTCTTAGGCAAGAATACATGTTGTGGTGCTGTGAAGGAACAAGAACTTTCAAAGAAGCAGGAAAAATCTACTATTTGAGTTGCATTCAGTCAACCAGACTTTCTATTCTTTTTCCTTAATGTAAAGGTTAACAACAGAATATCCAGGACACTATGGAGAAGATATGGACATGATGATGTACACTTACGACTATTACATCCGTGGGGCAACCACAACTTTCTCTGCTGTGGACAGGTTTGATTTTCATCTATTTCAACTATTTTCAAAAAAAAAAAAAAAAAAGGGAAGGTAAAAGGTCTTCCTTTCCCTTTTCTATTTCCCCCAAACAGTGCATTGGCTACACATCATCTGCTGTGGCACTCAGCATCAAGTCAGTACTTCCAAGGACCAAAGTTCACAGTGCATGTGGCTAATTGTGCAGGGTGGTGTACCAGGAACAGGGCATCTTCATGCACAGCCATGTCCATCTGAGTAGTGAAAAATACAGCAATGGTAGGCTTGGCTAAATCTGAGCTCTGCAAAGTGTAATAGGTCTTCAGCACAGTTTCTCGCCTACCTCTAGCTGGAGCATGTTTCCTCTAACTAAGTAAGAACTGAGCCTGAACACTCTGTCCTTTCAGGCAATTAGGGCCTTACTTTGGCCCACTTTTCTTTGCAGAGAAGGGGGGAATCTGCCAGCATGCAAAGATAAGACCATACAAACTGCAATGTGAATGCTGTAAACTGACCAATCCATTGCAACACAATTCTAACAGATTTGAGGCCACACCAGGAATTAAGGCAATGCAGGGCACCTTGACCCATTTCCAGAAAATGAGTTAACTACATTTTCTTGATCAGTCTTGGTCATTACTTAACATTTGCTAATATGCTTGAGTGATGCCCTATGGCTAGTGAAGTTGCAGTCATGCAAATGGATTCATAATTGCTTTGCTCAGTTAAAAAGAAGCATCTCTCCCTCTTTACTACTCAGAACTGCAAAGTTTTAAAATTTGGACTTAACATAATCCCCACAGTGCTGTCTGCCTAGAGCTACAGAGATCCTAACAGAGCAGGTTTAAGGAGACTTAAGCAGTCACTGAAACCTGACTGTGGGTGAGCAACCATGATTCTTTCTTCTCCAGCTGACCTCTAATGCATCAACTGTGAGCTATTTCTTTGCTGATGTTTTTCATCAGACATCTCAGTCCAGTATATTAGAGCATTTTTTGTCAAACACCGCGCAGACAGCAAGGCAAGGTGTGCTGCACTGGCCTATCGCTGCCAAGACTGGCTACAGGAGAAGGAGGGAGAGAAGACAAAAGTGGGAGTTTAAACATCAACATTTCAAGTTGCCTCTAATAACACTCAAAGGACCCAAGGTGCTTTTGTTTGTCATTGTGATGCACTCAGCTTGCCATAGTTCACTAGGGATCCCTCAGCCAAAAGATTACCTAAAATAAGGAGGCTTTTCCAGAAATGATAACATATTGTCAGACTGCTGCAGGTCCATAAGTAATTTTCTGGCTAATATTCTTTAGCCTGTTTATTACCAAATGGAAGCCATGTCTGCAAATTGTTCCTACAAGTGGAAGAGTAACTTTCATAGTTAATCGACTCAAAGGTATCTATTTAACTCTTTAGATAAAGAATTTACAAGATTGCAAGGGACATCCCTGTTGTGGGTTTTTTCTCTTAAATATTCCCCAGTACTGTTCTTAATCCTTGTTCCTCATGGCCATGGCAGAGATTAGGGGCGGTAATGCAGACAGTGCGCTCCCTTGCAGCTGGATTCCAGCCTCCATCGGATGTGGACCAGGGTAAAAGACAGGAATCACAAGGATGAGCCTGGAAAACAGAGCAGTTGAGGTAACAGATGCCTCTGAGCAGATTTTGGTCTGTGACTGCTGAAGGCTTAACAGAGTCTTCAGAACGGGGTGGCAGTGGGGGGACTGGCCAGGAGCAGAGGCAGCATCATGGGGATGTACATCAGGAGTACAAATCTTCAAAGGTCATGGGACCACAGTGGTTGGAAAGGGAAGAAGTCACCAACACTTTTGTCCTACCGCTGCTGTCACAGCAAAGATTAACCTGCAATAGTAGCAGGTGTTACAGAGAAAACATTTTATGAATTGCAATCTAGGAAACTTTTCTGTGCCAATGAACTTTATGGCCCCCAGCTTCCAGAATGACTAAAACCAACTTCTGCTGCCTAGCATATGAAGTGAAAAAAATTCCTGCTATACCAGTTCACAATTCAGATTCATGCTGTAACTCCCCTCAGTGGTATATTCTCAAATGTCAGCAAAGATTGTCATCCTAAACGGTTCTTTGCAGCTGAATGAGGCAGAATACAAGCAGAAAAAGCTATTCTGAGTCTCAGCCTACCAGGAGCACGCACACATGCAGCTCGTCTGTGTAAACATGCTGACGATTTGAGACCGCTTTTCATTTTCAACCACATTCAACTTGTGTCCACACTATTTAGCCCAAGATGGGCAATGTTCTTGAGCTAATGAGAGGCACAAAAAAAGCCTCTGAAGGTATTTTGGTTTAAGCTTTCCTAATCACTTCAAACAGGTATTTTTAGACTTTTTGAATAGACTTGCAGAAACCATATCTCCCCTTCCTATTCCCTAAGACATAGTATCACTGAGGTCACTGGTGATACACAGATATTTGAGAGAGCACATAATGCCTCTGGGAAAAGCTGTAGAAAGTTTAGAAAGGTGGTATCCCCACCTCCTTTTCTGAAATCACTCTGTGAGTTTCCCTGCCTGTGTACCAGTAATGAATGAAGAAGTTGCTGGCCATCATCAGAGGTTTTAACTGCTTATCTGTGGAGAACAGACTTTAGAAGTGGATAATACTTACATTTTTCAGTCCCATTTTAAATGGATCAAAAGGAGAAAACAATTGTCTATAAAGCAAGACCAAAGCAGCTGGAAAGAATTAGGAGAGGCCTGAAGTATCTCTGTGAGCACATTCAGGAGTGTGGTGGTGCAGACAGGATGACCTATGGTTGTAAGTAAGGGAATATCTGCAGGGAAAGGCAGTATCTTTTGTTAGACAGACTGATACAGTCAAATTTCAGAGAAGGAGACGATGACTGAAACTGCCCACATAGACATTGTAAACCCTTGGCAAAACAGATTCCAAAATTTAAATAAAGCCCCCAAACAACCAAAAAAAAACCCTAACCCAAAAACCAACATAGGTTCAAAATAGCTTCAGCCTGAGATCTGAAACATGCCAAGTGATGATGGCATGGTTCCCTCATGGAGCCTTGTTATGGGGCTGTGGTCTGGTTGGGTCAGGCTCTCAAGTCCAGAGAGCACCACCAGAGCATTCACAGCCCAACCTGCAGTGAGTAGCTTGGACAGGGATGTGGGGATTACCGACGTGCTTGGTGGGTGCCACAGCTTGCCCTTCACTGCACAGTATAAAAATAGCACAGGCAGACTGTCATAAGCTCATTACTTTTACAAAACCATTCTCTGCTCCATTTATTTGGGTGATCTGAATAGCTGGTAATTTCTTAACTGTTCAGACATCACTGAAAGACAGATCAACACCCAGATATCCCAGCAGTAAGTACATTTGAAATGCCTGGACAAGCTGGGTATCTACCGACCTCAGCTGAGCTAAATTATAAGGTATTTTAGGTCCTTGATAAGTTTCATATGACCAAAGAAAGAGGATTTTGTCAAACTCAATATGAATAGGAATTCCTAGAATTTTTTTAACTGAATTTGAAACAGATTATTTGGCGATAGTTGGAGATAAAAGATATTTTCCCTATAGTGTCAAAAATTCAAATCTGACAGCACACGGCAGCTGGAGAGTAAAAGTGACAACTCAATAGCGACTCCCCAAGCCAAAGAAAATGCATGAAATTAGCAATTTGAGGGGGACCTATAAACTGGTGTTAAGGAACTGTAAAGGATCTGTATTCCAGAGTATGCCACATACAGCAATTCTTGACAGGATATGCACCCCCCCGTTGAAAAACTTGTAAGCCATCTACAAACTGGCTGATAACTGCTGAATTAAACACACAGCACCAGTGGTGCAAAGTAATTGCCTGCATCCTGAAAAGGTGGATGTATATGCTTAGCTTCAAACACAAGTAATGCAAAAAAAGATCAATTAACACATTAATTAAATGCATAAACCTATTGGCCATCAATCATGTGCATATATGCTAAAGTATCTGCAAGTTCAAGCTTAAATTACAACTTCGGAAATAATTCTAATATTTTAAAACATGTTCTTAATTCAGGTAAATAAAATATATTTATTTTAAAGAACGTGACTTTCAACTTTACAATACCCTGATTAGAAAAATTACTTGACTTCAGCTTTTGAGCTAAAAGTCTCTCGGACAATGGGTGCCAGTTTAGCAGACCTTAATTTTGACCCATATAAACCTGTTAATCCACAGATGAGTCATCTTGTTTTTTGGTCTCTCTGGGTAGCTTACTGACCAAAAGAGTAATAACTGTCTTTGCAGAGCATACATGTAGTCCAAATGAGGACTTCCTAAAATAAACTGAAAAATTAATCTTGCATTTCATTAACCTTTGGTAACAGTTTTATGAGGAAATCACAATTTTAAAAAATCTAGGAAAGGCCTAAAGAAACAAAAAAATAAACACTATATAACTAAACACAGACCTGCTGATGAGTATGAGATAGACTCGGTTTCAAACAACACTCAGCATAAACTGGTGAAGTAGCATAGCAAATTTCCAATTAAAAGAACTCAGTTAATGAAATCTGAAATGAGACACCTCAAAAGTAAAATTAATCTTATTCCAGGATAGAGTCACCCAGTCAACGAAACCATGTAAGAGCAGTTAACACTGAAATCTGGACTCAGGTGCCTCCACACATCCCTTAGAGGCAGCAGGTTCTGCACCAGTTCCCTCACTGTTTGGAGCAGCCACCAGAAAACCAGGACTGTGCAGAGGTCTTGTAAAGGAAGCTCCTATTGAACCTCCCCAGCAGCATTACCTGTCCCATGCCTCAGGTTTAGGAGATCACTATCAGCAGAATCCAACCTTTCAGACACCTCAGGGTACTACCCATTACCAACTTAAACAATGGCTGTGGTCTGCAAGGACTGTATTTTAGATCTAAACTCCTGTTGGCCAGTACCAAGCAGCCAAAATTGAACATTTGCTCCACAGCAGGAGCTTTTGATCCTCTGAACTCATGCCTTTTTGTCAAGGGAAAATTTAATGCACAATAAGCTAAGGTGGAAATTTGCAGCCTGTTGCAGCTATTCTACATTAAATTCCTGGCTGGCCTCCACTGTTGAATCCTGCTGCTCCAGCCATGCTTCCTACTAACAATTGTTAGCAGGTACTGTATCACTCTCCTGATAGAGAATACAGACATCCAATTACTCACAAACCAGGAAGAGCATAAACTCTCCTTACACTCATAAACATTACTCTGACTCACATGTGACTTGTGGAGATCAAGGATGAGAAGTGAATTTAATTTCACTATCGACTACTCCACATCTTTAATAAAGGACATTAGCTAGAAGACCTGGTAGTGGAAAGAAAAAAAGACAAAAGAGTGAATTTGGCTCTGTGGGTAACACCCCACTTAGAAATGTCTTGAAAATCACCCATGTATTTTACTTTGTACACATTCCTGAGCAATATATCTCACAACAATAACTTCTGACAGAACCATCTTTTTTCTCTTGGTGACTGATTCAAAGTCAATTTAGGATTGATCACCATCAAGAGTCATTGTCTTCTAAAGGATACTCAGAGACCTAATTATTCAAAGAGCTGATTTCCTTACCTTGTAAGGGAATGTGAAGGAATTATAACTATCAGACATGCTTAATCTCCTTCCTGCCCATAAAAACACAAAGCACTCAGATGAAAGTCAGCTAATGGCAGAGAGATGTTTTTTGTTGCCACAATACCTGGTATAAAGTTATTCTTACTTGCATAATCTTATCTTCTGCAGTTCTGGCTCACTAATATCTCTCTCCTCTCTCTTTCACACAGGGATCGTCAGTGGAAATTCATTGTCTGCAGGATGACAGAGTATGACTGCCCATTTCAAAATGTTTAAAAAGATTGAGCATACCCCACTTGGAAAGCTTGGGGACGGACAGTGTAGAATGAGGGTTAGTGATTACAGAAGAAGGGCAATTAGGCTCACAGAAAAAGTACCAAGGCTCATCAGCTGTCTGCTGAAGATATAATTCTTTCCCTCTGGAGCTAATAAATAAATTGCCAGCCCATGCGCTTGCAACAGCAATTTGGAGGATTCCTTCAAGCTGCACTAGCAGCTGTATCCCCCAACTAAAACTGCTTATGACATACAAGTTTATGATACACAAGTCTATGGTATGTGCACAGTTACCTTTTTTTTATATATATATAGCCATTCTGAACACATACAACTTCCTTTCACATAGTAACTTCGTATAATCCCAGCACAGTCACTCCAAATGAGGTGGAAACATACTATAAGCTTTCCAACATCCACTAGACTTTCCTGTCTTCTACTTCGTACTTCAAACCAACACAGAGATCCCTACCAGCTTCTCAGTGTTTAGTAGAGGAAAGTGTGCTGAAAGAGGCATCAGGAGGTCTCTGATGTAATGCATCTGGCGTTACCTGTTACAGCCCTCAGAGTAACTCCATTGCAACAAAGGTCTGCCTGCACAGGGGAAAGCCAGGTATTTACAACACTGGAAGACATCAATACCTGATTAAAATTAGAGTAGATCTGTCAATAAAAACAGAAGCCTAACCCAGCTTTACTGAGAGCCTCTTTCATATTGTCTTGAAAGTCTCTAATGATATAACTAGACAGGAGCTCTGTTCTGGGCAAACCCAGGAGTAGGTCAGGCCACTCACACTCTCACTAAATATGTGTACTGCACTAGTCAGGAGTCTACTTTTCAGGTGGATTGGGTTTCCACTATGGGTGCCTGTACAACATACATCTGCCCTTCGTAATATATTCTTGGCTTAGAACAGACAAATAAAGCTAATGACTTAGGTGACCTCAGTTCCTTCAACTTGCAGATCTCATGCCCTGTAAAGGATAAGCTGACCATGTTTCAACACTGCACAGCACTTGTGCAGCTGTAATCCCACAAGAAAGACTATTGATCTCTTCCAGGAAGATATGAGGTAGGATTTTTACTCTTGAAAAACCAGAATTTAGGGCTTGGTTTCTTAGCTGATGAAGTCAATGGCAAACTTAGCAGTGGCTTTGGCGGTGCTGGCTCAGGGGCCACAATGACCCCATGTACCAATTTAAGGTTCTAAAGCTTCATAGGAAACAGCGGTGTCAATCAGTCAGTTTCCATGTTCCAAGCAATTTTAACATATTTACTAGCATACCCTCAAGCGTGAGCATCAAAACTACATTTGTCCAATAAAAGAATAATAGGTTTTGCATTGCTGTAGCCTTGTCCTTTCTTGATTTTGCTTACACCAGCTAATTAATTTGCACACAAAGAAACTCTCTGTCATTCTCAGAGACCATTAGGGAGTTTCTGTGAGAGCCAGCTGCTGAGACATCCAAGTAACAGTGGGAAAGAGAAATCAAGAGACCTAGGGAAGCTGGAGAAGCTTGTTAGCTGACACTGTAGACAGGCAAAGGAAGCCAAGGGAGCTCCAAACAGGAGAGCACCACAGGAGAAGGCACTCATGCTAGGGAGCTGATGGAAAAGGCCAGGCACTATAATTAGGTATAGAAGTTTCATCTCTGGGAACACCTGCTCTAGATGGACACCCACCTCCCACACAACTTTATCTTGACTACTTAGGGTGCTCTCAATTCTGTGTGCACACCATGGGCTCAGGGATGCCTCTGAGGTGACAGCTTAAGCTGATTTAGATCCACAGTGCCATGGAGTGGCAAAGCAGTTCTGCTCTGTTGTCCGCTGGAGCTGCAGTGTCACATTGTCCCATATACCACCTTTCTCCCTCATCCCTGTCCCAGCCACTTCCTTCCACCCATGCTCTATTCCCAGCTCCACCCCAGCAGTGCATTTGTGTAGGATATATTTCACAGGACTCCTCTTCAGAAAGTTAAGTAATTCTCAGATGAGGAAAGGCGTGGGCGGGAAACAGAATGTATCTTGGGGGAAGGCAGAAATGGGATGTGGACCAAAAAAAAAAAACAACCCAAAAAGCAGAACACTTGCAGAGAAAGAGTGATTCCTGTGAAGTCCTAGGACACCTAGTTAGCAAAGCTACAAACAGAACTTGGTCTTTATCTAAGTTTTGTCTAAGTTGCAGCATCCACTTCTAATGTTTAGGTAATCTCTGCATGTGGGAAGACATTGCTCCAAAGCTGATAAGGTTCCATCCCAAATTCCTCAGCACAGAGCAAGGTGACGATGAGCATGCCTTGCAAAAGTTTTCTGGCTTCAAAACTTGATCAAGCCTGCTTTGACTTTCCTAAAGCCATTCTGGAAAAGAGAGCCTTTCAAAACCTGCTTAGGACACCTTACCGAACCTGAACCACCTTTCACTGCTAACAAACCAGATGCCACTGCAGTGAAATGAACAGAGCTGTGCCTATTCAGATCAAGTGCAACTGAGTGCAGAAACCCGGTACAGGGAGCCCACAGCACTTCTTCATTCTCATGTGTCCCGTGGCACAGAAGCACCCCACCTACACTATATGGAGTAAAAGCCACCCCTGATCTGAGAGCCAACACACAGTCTACTCATTACTGAAGTCCCATATAAGCCTAACATTTTAAATAAACCCTTATTTTTTAATAAATAAAACATCAGGAAATAAAATCTTATTTATTTATTTAATAACAACAGTATGGATTGAATTCAAACATCCGAGAGAAAAGCACTCTCATAAGTGCTGAGCATTGTCCCAGTCATGCTACAAGGGCTGCAGATGGCATACTGTCACCATTGTCAGTGATTTTTTTAGATAAACTAGGGCAGGGTAATCTTTGCATTCAGAAAGGGAAATGCAGCAAACTTCAAAAAACAAGGAGAACCTTTTGAGCTTCTCTAAATAAAAAGGTGAAGAAGAAAAAGTGGGGTGGGCTAGCTGGGCAAGAGAAATATCAACACTGACTACCTTTGTGGGTCTGCTTTTACCTGAAACTCAGTGAAGGCTGGTGCTAAGCCAAACCCATATCCTCCATTTGATTCACTCCTCTTGAAGTGAGGTTCAAGTAAGTGAACACCATAAGTAATTGGGGAAAACACAGACAATTATATCAACCCCAAACAGTCAAAGAGGAGGACTTGACTGCTCTTCCTTCCAAATCTCCAGATTAACTTAAAAAACATGAGACTTCTGTAGAAAAAAAAAAAAAAAGCGCTCTTTTTTTTCACATATTCTGATTTCTAAGTTTGCAGAGTATATAAGCACTTCAAATATTTTTCAACATTTTTCACTTTCAGTATTTTTCAAGTGCTTCAAACAGTATTTTTCAATTACATCTCAACAACTCTGAGTCTAGAAATGTGTTTTTAAAGTGAAGACTGAGATTCTTGTTTAATCACCTGAGAACAAGAGCTGGGATTAGTTTTACAGGATATCAAATACTATGAGACTAATGATAAATATATCAGACCTAGCCACACAGCACTGATTAAAAAAAGAAATAGCAAACTCATAGCCATGTTGAAATAAGGCATATTTCCTGAAAAATCAAGAGAGACCTTTCAACCTCTTCCAGTGCAGTGTTCAGGACTTTGTAATATATGATAAGCCTGGCACAGAGTCATGGCATCACCCAAGCAGAGAGATGCCAACACAGCTGAAGGGAAACTAGTCTGTGGATGAAGCAGAAGACCTGGCAGAAGACCAGCTGGCTCCTAGGAAAACTTGCTTACACTTGACCCTTGACTCACAGCCATTGAATCCTTTTTTGGTTTTAAACTTTATTCCAAGCCCATGTTTATCGCACCAGCATGTTACTGTACTGGCCTGCATCTTTGAGGCCACAGCACTGTTTGCAAGCGGAGAGTATGAACATCACTGGCAGTGGCACTTTGTGCCAGAGTTGTTGGCGTGAACTGCAGACAGGAGGAGTTCTGCTAATAACACATTATCAAACATAAAACACTACTTGTGCCTAGATGTACATTTCAAGACACAGTAGTTACACAGAGGACTGCTACCCTATTTCTCGCTGTTTCAGGATACTGGTATGTGTGCAGCTGATGCCTTGCATAGTAATCTGGACCTATGCATTGAGGAGCTTAGAAAAGCAGCAGGGCCGCCCACATGCTGAAAATGAAAGGCATGCACAACTGCCTGCCTTTCCAAGCTCCATACCTGAACAGCATTGATTTCAGTTTTATCCACCAAAACCAACGGGCCTGCTCGTGAACTTTGGCCAAAATCAATGCAGTCAGGCATCTTAGCTTAGCTGGTGCATCTCTACAAGGAAGACTGGAAAAACTGGACCTTGAGTTAGAAGGAATCAATCAAAGAGTGTGCCAAGATACATAGGAATGGATGAGGCACTGCATATTCTGTTCGTGCTTTCTCAGACATAAAAATCTAACTGACTTAAACTCATGAAGACCAGGACACACTCCACCTTCAGTTATCTTCTTATCAAGTAGTTTTGCTGTAGGAATAAAACCTAGATTTCCTACCTATATATCAGCTTCACAACAGCCGTTATCTCACTGACTTCAATGAGAGCTTTTCCCTTGTGCTGTGTTACACCCCATATTTACAAGTCTGAGCTAAGCATTAAAGCCATGTCAATGGGATAAACCCCATAAGTAAAAAAAGGCACAGCTACATTTCTGCAGGACATGAGCTTTAGTTTACACGCAGGATCAAATTCTCCAGGTCTTGCCTGAATCAAACGAGTCACCACATTGCAGAACCTGTTCCTAAAAAGATCAGGCCAAGTTGTAGGAAACACAGAAGACAGAAATGCACAAGAGATGGTTCTATCTGAGAGAAAACTAAGGGGAATGACAAGAACTGAAGCAAAAACAGTAAAAGAGAGACATGAAGCCACCTGAAGAATATGCCATTATGTAATTTCTTAAAATAAATGCATGCTCCTCTATCTTAGGAGATGAGATGACTAGGATAATTTAATACCA